GAATATTGTTTTGTAAGACAAATAAGATTTTTTGGTCAGAAAAAATTTCGAAAAAATAGAGTGAAACAATTGTGTAGCGTTGAAAAACAGGTATTTTTGGTGTTTTTTAGAGATTTTTTACGCTATTGAGGTGAGAAGTAATAAGAGATATGTAAAGAAGTAAAAAAAAATTCAGTCTGATAAGTCTAAAGCGTAGTGCGGGTTGCCAAAGCCAAAATCAGGAATAGTAGTGTATGTAGTAGTGTCTTCTATCAATTCAGACTCGAGGAAATTAAAAGGGGGTACGTCAGGAGGGAGATTAAAAGAGGAAGGGTTTCTGTAGTATTCAGAAATGACAGATTTTACTTCTTCTAAATAGTCTGTGTAAGAGATAACAGTGTTGTCTGGCGCGTAAATAGCACTGGATAGAACTGCACTAGTAGTAGTAGTGGTACAAATCCAGTAAGTATCTCTATAAACTCTTTTAACTACTTTTCTAAGTTCTTGCTCTACTGTAATATTTTCAGGATGGTCCGTGTAATATCTTCTGGTTTCAGCCAGGAGGGAAGGATCTATATGTTTGAAATAAATATTAATATCCTGCATTTACCTTTTAGCAGGCCATGATGAATAAAATAAAATAGAATGGTGTTAGTAAGTATGATTTTTTAATGGTAATGGGTGAAAAATCACGAGTAAAATGAGGCCAGACCCCCAATTGTCAGCCTCTATGCTACTAACCTGTAAGGGTTGTGCTCTGAGTGTTAACAAGTATGGTAAGTGGGAAGGTTTATTCGTGGTTAAATCCCTCAACCTGTAAAAGAAACAGGGAGGAGTCAGTGAGGAATGGTACTTCTACTGCTGACTCATCCAATTATTTAATTGGGCATCCAGATCAATCCTCTTGTATGGATTAATAGGCTTCCAAGGTGAGGGCTTCTTCAACTCACTTGGGATTAGTCTTTTAACAACAATCTAGATTAATAAGTGTATCAACACTTAAGGACCAGAATTGTTTAACCTGGGGGATAATTCTTTATGCAATAGAGATAAGTAGATATGCCTTGAATCTGAGCAAAGTAAATCTATTTAGGTCTAAGGTAGCTGGTTTGTAGGGTTATTGGTGGTTTGAATCACTAATAAACACGGTACAAGTGTTGGTTTGATGCTACTAGAATTTCCTGGGGGGAAAAGGTAGGAATCTGAGCTCCTTAAATATTCTACAGGGGGCTCAGGGGAAGAGGAGAGGCCCTCAGGGCACTGGGGAGCTTCTTAGCAGCTCTACAGTTTCGTGTAAGGATGGGAGCTGTAGCTGTGCAGTGCTATGCATGGGTGGAAGGTCTTAGGACATGAGATCATA